GAATATTTTACATGCATACGCGAATGTTCTCTGCCATTAAAATAACATTTAGTCTAACATTCAATTCGTCATGTTTTGTAAAAATGTTTCATTTCGTACATTTATGTAAAAAGAATTATGCTCTGCCATTAAAATAACAGTCTTTAGTCTAACATTCAATACGTCACTTTTTGTAGAAAATTTTCATTTGGCGGTCCATTTTGGTAAAAATTTCGCTGCCATTAAAAATAAACACTTTAGATCTAACACTTCAATCGATCATTTTGCATAAAAATTTTTCGATAAGTAAAAGGGTGTGTTGTGGGTGTGTGTGTGTGTGTGTTAAGCTCTATATAATAGAAATAGAAATAAAATGTCCCATGAACAGTCCGATCGACCTATTCAAGGTCCGAGCCACCTTCATCAACTCGCGCGCAAACTACCAGCAAACGCTCCATACCGCGAGGTGAAGACGGAGACCGCGAGGGCCGCCACCGCCGTGCGGGCGGGCGGCGCGCGCATGGCGAACGCTGATGATCGCGAGTCCTATTCCCTGCTTGCATCCAGAACCATTATTCGGAGGTGATCCTGTTAGATCCTCGGCGGCATGACGGTGCAGCTGGTGGGAGCTTGGCCGGAATCCTGAGAAGGTCTGTGCAGAATCCCGGCATGTGTACACGCAGACTCGGTCTCTTTACTAGGCGTTTAGTATGAGATTCTACTATCAGCTTCTCTGCAGGCATAAGTGTAGCCGAGCTAGCGAAGCGGATATTAGTACAACACAATGGGAATGCGAAAACAATATCGTATAGTGAGTAACATACCACACGCGACGCTTTATTACTCAGCCGTAGATAACGGTATATACAAGTTGACTGGCGTACGATATGAATAGAGCGCCAAAGGGACAGCGCTTCAGCGGCACAGCCAAGCTCTGTCGAGTACCGATATAGCGCGCCGTGCTTCTCTATAAGCGCCTGTCACGGTACCTCGGTTAAGTTAGCGGCATCATAGAAGCCGCCGACACCCAGTGACACCGTTTCTCACGGCTCAGTGACTTCGTGGACAGGTCCGCCTCTTTTCTATCTAGTTTTTCCTCGGTATCCGTGTCACACGTTTGGCGAGCTTCATCTATCCCCGCACAGCGTCGGCCTCCAACGTAGACTCGGTTTACCTGTCATAAACACTGCGTTTTCTTCGTTACTTATACCTCAGCTACACATGGATCCCGGGAAGCAGGAAGCGCCGTTCTGCAAGGACCGGCAAAAGACCGGGAAGCGCGCTTATTGCCAAATCGCCGGAAGGCGGAAGCAGTACCTGCATGACCGGGAAGTAGGGAAGGCGGTTACCCACAAATCGCGGGAAGGACGGGAAAGGGTTCTCCTGGCATGACCGGAAGCAGGCGTAAATGCGGTTCCCTGCCACTCGGCGGAACAAGAGCGGGAAGACCGCCTTCCCTTCACCGACCCGGCCGAAGACAGGAAGGCGTTTATTGCATAATCGGGAAAGCGAGGAAGAGCAGTACCCTGCATGACCCGGGAAGAGGGGGACAGGCGTCTACACAAAATCCGGGAACGACAGGGAAAGGGAAAGCGCGTTTCCTGCATGACCGCCGGAAGAGGAAAGAGGTTCCTGCACTGCGCCCGGAAGAGGCTGAGCGCAAGCACAGGAAGGATCCTGAAAATCTGGCAGAGAGCGCGAATGGTTCTGAAACATCTGCGGAGAGGCAAGCGGTTCTTGCATGACCGCGCGAGACGGGAAAACGCGCCGTTCTTGCCCCATGACCGGCAAGCAGCTACGCGAACAGGGCTCTCTTGCATGACCGGGAAGAGGGGAAAACAGTTGCAGTTGAACTATCAACGAACAGTTGCACGAGTTAATGAGCAGGTGCGATGATTACGTATAGACCACAATACGTTAGTGGGGTGAGGGGGGGGGGAAGTCAGGGGAGGGGAGAAATATTTCTCCTTATTAGAATCTGGCAAACATTTAACTCTATAGAATTTGGCAAGTATTTTTCACTATAGAATTTAGCAAGTATTTTCAGCTCTATCATTTAGCAAATATCTATTTCCCGCTTTAGCATTTCGATTTCCCAGTTTAGCATTCAGCCGATATTTTCCGCTAGCGTTTAGCAAACGTTTCCGTATTCATAGCCCTTAGATTTCCCCTCTTAGATAGTAAGATAGTACTTAGCAGATCTATATCTTCGTCTTCTACTTGGCATTTAGCATCGAGATGCGAGGTAAATGCACCGAATTTTTTTTTATTTTTTTATTTTTTTTATTTTTTTTATTTATTTTTTATTGCACTGAATTTATGTGAGGGTGACGGAGCATTTTCGGGAACTTATTTAGTATTTACCACGCATCTGCGAGTTCTAAGGATTGCACCTTCACTCGTGCGAGTTGAGGGTTGTAGTATGCATGCATAGTAACTGCAAAGGCTAACGTCTAATTTAATTAGACGTGCATGATCATTTCCTTAGTGTAATGTCATACGAATCTCAGTAGATCAATGTTAGGATAAGCTTTGGATGGTTTGCGTTAGGAGGTTGTTGTTGAGTGACACCTGGGTAAACACCGGAGGGTATTTGTTTCAGTTGTCATAGTCTCACCTGTTTCACTAATTAGTTAAACGCTAGTGAGTGTAAGCAGAGCTCCTGCTTACTGAGCTGCTGCTGCTGCTGCTGTTGTTGTTGTTACTACTGCTGCTGATACTGCTACTGCTGCTACTGCTGCTGTTGTTGTTGCTACTGCTGCTGATACTGCTGCTGCTTCTGCTGCGGTTATTGTTGCTGCTGCTGCTACTTCTGCTGCTGTTATTGTTGCAGCTGCTGCTGCTACCTCTGCTGCTGCTGCTGCTACTTCTGCTGCTGTTATTGTTGCAGCTGCTGCTGCTACCTCTGCTGCTGCTGCTGCTACTTCTGCTGCTGTTATTGTTGCAGCTGCTGCTGCTACCTCTGCTGCTGCTGCTGCTACTTCTGCTGCTGCTGTTATTGTTTCTGCC